TGGTGCTCCCTGAAGCACCTCCAGCCCCTACAACTGGCACACAGTAACTGCTCAGTAAAACAGCCTCTGGCTACACGACCACACCCCCAAGGCTGCTACCTTCTCCCTCCTCGCCGACTCAGCTCTCCCTCCACAAGACCACGAGAGCAGGGAGCCGAGTGCCAGCACAGAGTCATCATAAATCCTCCCAGACCACTAATGGACACGCGCGCGCAGTCCAGAGAACACAGTGTGGAAATGTAAACTCCGGCTCGGAGCCGCTGTCCATTAGAGGCGCGGCTTTTGGAGCCTGTGGTCAGCTCGGAATACCATGGGTCTGCGGCGAGGCTGCTGGCAGACAGCTGTCAATCCCAACTCGATGAAGGCGGGATTTCACTTGGGCATGCTGGGTGTGCACAGGACGCCACACTGCACCTGGGCAGCTGCAATCAGGTAGGTTGGTTTATTAATCCTGCCTCTTCTCAGCCTTGCTTCCAACCTAAACCTCGCAGCGGGTTTTAAATTACACCAGCGAGCACCACTCCAGTTCCTCCTAAATCCACCCCAACGGATAAATCCTTTAATTCACCCTGCAGGTAAACTCTGTCCCCAAGCAAGTACAATAACCGTAATCCAGGGTCAATGCCCTTATGGCCTCTTTGGCCATGGGAAGAAACCGCATTACACGTGACCCAGCGACGCAAAGCCGTCCCCAAGTGCCACTAACAAGACACAGGTACCAAGAACCAAAACCAGAGGTGGGCATCTCCCTCCTCTCCCACTGTGCACTCCACCTGGTTTTTGTTGTTGTTTTTCCAGCTTTTAATTGAAGGGAGAAGGGGAGAGAGGTGAGGGCTGACACCAGAGCTATTTTGAGACATAAAAGATTTCAAAATAAAGTGCAGCTTCCACTGCCATAGTTCCCGATGGCCAACGGAACCCAGGTGAGTAGGAAAGTTCTCCACGGAGAACATTCGCACAGAATCCACTGTCTCCACGCTGGCCAAGCCACCTTCCCCCCAAGCCGAACGTCCTGTAAATGGCTGCCTGCCAGGCTTCAGCTGGGCGCAATCCCCACCTTTCCCCGACAGCCTCCAGCAAGAGATGACCAAGCGGTCAAGTCCACCCAGCAGGCACAGAAGCTGAACTTCTCCAAGGCGGGGATTCGGGGCCCACCGGCATCAGTAAAGGCCCGGATCTATGAAGATCTGGCGGTTACTAAAGGCAGAGCAGAAGATCCCACAACCCTCTCTCCAGCAAGCCTGACCCTACCCTTCTTGCGGGTGGGCGGGGGTGTGTGTGGGGGGGGGGGGGCATATGTGGTGCCTCCGCTTCTTTCTGAAACCCGGAGCGATAAGCAACACCAGTGCCCGATCTGTTCCCATCGCAGTCCGCGCGCCGCCGTCATCCCCGTCATCCCCAGAGCCCCTTCCCTGGCAGCCCCGCCTTTCCGTGAGTTCGGAACCAGGCTGCCCAACCGTGCAGGGAGAGGGGAGAGTGAGCAAGAAACTTGCCAGGCACCTAAGGGGAAACTGACAACAATTAAAACGGCCAGCTGCCCGTTTGGAAAGGGAAGAGAGTGATGTTTTCTTGTACAAAATCTGCGTCGCCGGGCAAGCCGCAAACTGGGGAAGGGGCCGTCCTCCCACCCCGGAGGGCGCGGAGGACGCGGGCCAGCGTTTCTGCGGTCAGTGCTGCTGGACTTCCAACACCAAAGTTTCCGGAAAACTGTGTCACGGACACAGGCTGCTGTGATCCGAGCAGACGTGCCCAGAGCCTTCCCAGCAGGGCACAAGGCACGCCGCTCTGCCCCCCCCAACACACACCCGCCGTTCTTTAGGGGTGCGGAGACCGCTGGCACGCAGGGCACGGGGGCCACTCCAGTCCCCGCAGGCTCTAGCCCTCCTCCCCGCCACTGCGCTGCGGCCCCGGGGTGGGGTCACCGAGCGCCCCATCCCGGCCGCCGCACTTGCGGGGAGCAAGGGACGCAGACACGGCCCGCGCGTGCGAAGGCAGCCCCCCGGCTCGCGGGGTGGCACCGGCGCGCGCGCGCGCGCACTCACGCGCCCCGAGCAGCGCGCGGGGGGGGCGCGTTACCTGTTCTGCCAGCCCTGGAGGAGGTTGGTGTATTTGCTGAGCACGCCCTCGAGTGCCGGCTCCCGCCGGCGGCCGCCTCCTCCGGACGGGCTAGCAGCCACCGAGCCCGGGCTGCTGCGGCTGCCCCCGCCGCCCAGCCCGGCCGCCGCCGCCCGGCTGGAGACCCCCCGGCCCGCCAGGGAGCAGGAGGGCGAGGAGCCGGCCGAGGTGGCGCGGCTGCTGCTGCTGCTGCCCCCGCCGCCGTCCGCGCCCTGGGCCGCCCTCTCCATGGTCCGTGCGCGCCCGGGACGCGGGTGCCCGCCGCGGTGGCGGCCCCGGCACGGCGGCGGTTGCTGCTGCTGCTGCTGCTGCTGCTGCTGCTACTACAGCTCCGGGCGCCCGGGCCGCGCGTGGCTGCTCCGGATCCCGGGGAAACGCCTGACTCATACAGGAGGAAGAGGAGGAGGCGGCAAAGGAGAGCTGGGGAGGAAGCCAACGGGGCTGGATGCAGCTGCGGCCGCCCCTCCTCCCGGCGCCGCCCCTCCCTCCGCACTAGTTTCCCGAGCAAGTTGGGCGCCCAGGGCCGCTTCGGCTAGCGCCCTGCGGGTCCCTCCTCCGCTCCCTCGGCGTGCGCGCGGCCGCTCGGGCCCGGCGGCCGGGGGCCGGGCTGCAGGGTGGGCACGCCCCGATTCCACGCCCTGTCACTCTCGGAGGCGAAGGGGCGAGAAGGAATCTCGGCACGGCGCTCCCCACCCCCAGCCCACCTCGGGGCCCGGGGGAGGGGCGGCCCCACCCACTAGGTCCACCCGGATATGGACCCGCCCGGCCTGACCCGGGGACACCGCGCGCTCCCTCTCTCTCTCTCTCTCTCTCTCTCTCTCTCTCTCTCTCTCTCTCTCCCCCCGTCTTCCGCACACACGCCTGGCCCAGGCACGTACGCACAACCCTGGAAGTCTGGCTCCCGCGGCGGAGCGCGCAGAGCGGGCGGGAGGCCCTGCGGCTCCGCCCGCCGGGCTGGGGACCGGGGCGGGGCCGGTGGCGGACACAGGTGAGCTGCCCCGGCGTTTGCTCGCCACGCAGTTACGGCAAATACGTAACGGTCGGGGGCGCGGGGGACGAACTCGGCGGCTTGTGTAAATGCGTGCGCCACGCCACTCGCAGGCCCCACACCAGTCCCCAGCCCTGATGGGCACGCAGAGACCTGGCGAGGCCAGACCTACCCTTTGTGGGCGTGGAGCACCTGGCGCCTGCGAACCCAAGGCTCCACTGGCGCGCTCGGCCCCACTGACAATTTTTTTTTAAATAACCACTGCACCCTGGAAGTTTCTAAGCCGTGACTACGAAAGGGGTCACACCCGTGTGAAGGCCAAAGGTGATGGGTGAGGGGTGAGCCCTGTGCAAAGGAGCTGCAATTCAAGAACGCAACAGTGAAGACAATCAGCAGGTGCAGTACAGTCAGCTCCCTTGGGGGCATTCCCCGCCTGACCCCTCCCTGGCTTGCCAGCCTTTCACGTGGTTTCGCTCTAGACGTTTCCATGGAGCTACTTCTGGGACGGACGGAGCAGTGGTTGTGTCCCTGAATAAATAAATGACAACAGCGAAACTCACAACAGGACTACTTGGGCAGGGGCCGGCACTGTGGCATAGCAGGTAAGGCCGCTGCCTGCAGTGCCGGCATCCCATATGGCCGCCGGTTCTAGTCCCGGCTGCTCCACTTCCAATCCAGCTCTCTGCTATGGTCTGGGAAAGCGGTGGAAGATGGCCCAAGTGCTTGGGCCCCTGCACCCACGTGGGCGACCCACAAGAAGCTCCTGACTTCAGATGGGCACAGCTCCAGCTGTTAGGGCCCTCTGGAGAGTGAACCAGCAGATGGAAGACACTCCCCCTCTCTGTAACTCCGCCTTTCAAATAAATAAAATAAATCTTAAAAAAAAATAAATAAAGACTACATGGGCCAACACGGAAGCCAGACGCAGCCTGCTTCTCATCTACCACCTTGATCAGGTTCGCGCTTGCAGCCTTGGTTTTCTCACCTGTGAAATGGGACGGATGCCTGTGATGTCCTAGGGAAGAATGGAGGAGCAGCCTCCTGGCACGAAGAGGACCTCAGGCTTGGCCAGGACACAGGAGTAACCCACGCCGCTGTGGGTCCTCCATCTCTGTCTTTCCCTTATCACAGGTGAGCAGCAGGTCCCAGTAAGTGCCTCCTTCAGCTTGGCTCTCCGAGCGAGAAAACAGGAGGCAGATGAGGTCAAAGCCGGTTAGTCTTAGCCATCTAATAGAACAAAATGAGTATTAGGCTGCTGAGATTTTTAGCATATTTTTTATTTAAGATTTATTTTATTTATTTGAAAGACAGAGTTACAGAGAGAGAGAGAGAGAGAGAGAGAGAGAGAGAGAGATCTTCCATCCGCTGCTTCACTCCCCAGAAGACTGCAACAGCCAGAGCTGTGCCGATCTGAAGCCACGGCACCAGCCCCTTTAGCATCTTTTTTAAAAAAAATCCGCAGCTCACTCGGCTAATCCTCTGCCTGCGGCGCCGGCACACCGGGTTCTAGTCCTGGTTGGGGCACCAGTTCTGTCCCAGTTGCCCCTCTTCCAGGCTTCCACAGCTCTCTGCTGTGGCCCGGGAAGGCAGTGGAGGATGGCCCAAGTGCTTGGGCCCTGCACCTGCATGGGAGACCAGGAGGAAGCACCTGGCTCCTGGCTTCACATTGGTGCAGCGCTGGCCGTGGCAGCCATTTGGGGGGTGAACCAACGGAAAGAAGACCTCTCTCTCTCTCTCTCTCTCTCTCTCTCTCACTAACTCTGCCTGTCAAAAAAATTATTTATTTATTTGAGAGAGTTACACAGAGAGGCAGAGAGTCTTCCATCCTCTGGGTCGCTCCCCAGTTGGCTGCAATGGCTGGAGCTGTGCCGTTCCAAAGCCAGGAGCCAGGAGTTTCTTCCGGGTCTTCCATGCAGTGCAGGGCCCAAGCACTTGGGCCATCTTCTACTGCTTTCCCAGGCCACAGCAGAGAGCAGGATCAGAAGTGCAGCAGCCAGGACTCAAACCAGCGCCCATATGGGATGCCGGCATGGCAGGCAGTGGCTTTATCCCCTACACCACAGCACTGGCCCCTTTTAGCATCATTTTTTGCCGAAGGTGACTTCCATACAGGTCAGTGTGTCTGTCCAAGCCCTTTGTTGACAGAGAGACTGAGGAGGTAAGTGCACACTGAACTGTACACATCACTCAACCCATTGTATTGGAGATTGCTACCCCAAACTCCTGCTGAAGGGCACAGTGCAGGCCAGAATGGGCCAGGAGCAAGCCCGCTGGGAGGGGTGTGCATTTGGCCTGGTGGTCAAGATGCAGGTTAGAACCCCCGAGGGCCATACCCAAGTGTCCAGCATCTAGTCCTGGCTGCAGACCCTGGGAGGCAGCAGTTACGGCTCAAGCCGCTGGGTTCCTGGATAGATCTCCTGACTTCCAGGACACACAGGGAGTGAAGCAGCAGGTGGGAGGATCTCCCTCCCTCTCCCTCCCTCTCCCTCTCTCTGTATGTGTAACTGTCTCTCAGATAACTCAATGTTTGCAACAGCTCAGGAAGTCTGTAGCAAGAGGCGAGTGGAGCCTGTAGCCTGGAAGAAGAGGCTGAGCCAGGAGAGACAGATGCATGGCGCATGCTGTTCCCTCTGCTGGTACTACTTTCCCTGTTCTCTTCACCTGGCTGGTGCCGCTCACCCGTGGAGTGTTGAATAAAGCCACTGCCTCCAGAAAGTCTTCCGTGTCGCACTCTAACACAGCCAGCAGGGAAAAGCCCCCTGCAGAATTATCGTTGGAAGGAAAGTGTCTTCTTGTTGGAAAAGGGATTTGAGAATAAAGACATGATAGGTTGGCAAAAAGATGCAATGCACGTGCTTAAAGTAGTTTCAAACTTCTCAAAATATATATGCCCAGCAGACGGGCTGTTTCCTTAACTTACCCAGGTTGTATAAATCATTAAGAAAAATCAGAAATGCAGATGGAATGAAACCTAACAGCCATGTGAAGATTTTGAAAATGGAAGCCAACTATGACTGGAGCAATAAGATAAACACATCACAACTCTGAGGCCAGCATCGTGGCGCAACAGGTTAAGTCACCATATGGGATGCTCCAGCTCCCTGCTAATGCGCCTGGGAAGGCAGCAGAGGATGGCTCAAGCGCTTGGGCCCCTGCACCCAGTGGGAGACCAGACGGAGTTCCTGGCTGCTGGCTTCTGCCCCAGCCCTGGCTACTGCAACCATTTGGGGAATGAACCAGCAGATAGAAGATCTCTCTCTTTCTCTCCCATCCTCGCTCTTACTCTTTCAAATAAATAAATAAATCTTATAAAAAAAAAAAAAAGGCACAATCAGCCTCCCCCGGGCGCTGGCTGCCCCATCTCCTGCCCGCTGACGCGGACCTGGGGAGCTGATGCAGAATTCCCGTGGTTGCCCCGCCTGGCAGGGTCTTTCTTACCAAAGGCCGGCAAAGCCTTGGGGAGGTGTCGCTGAAGCAGCAGCAGAGTCCATGGACGTGGACATAGCTGGCCACGTGACGTGAACAGAGCCTGGCCGTGGAGAGAAAAGTGTCACAAACGGTCACCGTCCGGGATCCACGTGATTGCGTTTGTATCGGAAACACCTTGCCGCCCTGTTGTCCATCACAAACAGTTGTAGTGACTGTGACGCTAATAATTCCTGAGCCCTCACTCCGTGCTGGACACAGCGGCAGTGCACTGAGCCCTCGCAGACAACCCCTTGAGGGGAACCCCAGTTCTTGTTCCCATTTTACAGAGGGGGGAAACTGAGTCAACGAGCGGTTGAGCGACATCCCCCAAGTTCTCGCAGAGCGAGGGTTTGAAAGCGGGCAGTCAGTTCGTAACCACTGCATTAGACTGCTTGCTTCGTAATGGACCCAGTTTCATTTCCTCTGCGTAATGAGACCACTGAAAGTACAGCTCAGTGCCTGGAATTCCATTTCCTGTTATATTTTTGTTCAGTTAGAAATTAATTCTCCCAGGCACGAATCCAAGGGAAGCAGGCAGGTGCTTGGGCCGCCAGCATCCAGCCTCACCACCCACTGGGTGTTTATTGTTGGATGAGTGAAGTCCGATGTCACGAGGAAGAAACAGAGGCTCGGGAGGAGCGAAACCTAAACCATGGTCTTCTGACTCCAAGCCTGGTGTCCTTGGAAATGCGGCACACTGCCTGAACTTGACACGGACTTGGGACTGTGGACGCGCAGCTGCGCCATCAGAATCACGGTATGAGCACTAGCCACCCGATGAATGAGCAGCTCCACACAGATCACTCTGGAAATCCGGCGTCCCATATCAGAGCGTTGGTTCGGGTCCCGGCTGCTGCATTCTGAACCAGCTCCCGGCTAGTGCACCTGGGAAAGCAGCAGAAGATGGCCCAAGTGCTTGGGCCCCTGCACCCACACGGGAGACCTGGAGGCTCCTGGCTCCCGGCTTCGACCTAGCCCTGCCCTGGCTGTGGAAGACTTTTGGGGAATGAACCAGCAGGTGCAAGATCTCTCTCTTTGTCTCTCCATGTCACTCTGCCTTTCAAATACATAAAATAAATCTTCAAAAAAAATTTTTTTAAAAATCAAACCCTCACTGCTACAGGGGCTGCATGCAGCTTTGCAATATAGCTACATGTGCAGTATATTAATATTTTCCAAGACGGGACTATATCATTGTTTTCATTGTTAATTTTACTATAATAGATGCCCACATTTAAAGATTCACATGCACAAAATTGTAAAATAGAAACTGAAAACTCATATATAACCCCTCCCTCAAACAAAAACCAGGGGCAGTAGCTGTGGTGCAGCAGGTTAAAGCCCTGGCCTGAGGGGCTGGCATCCCATATGGGCGCTGGTTCGAGTCCTGGCTGCTCCTCTTCCGATCCAACTCTCTGCTGTGGCCTGGGAGAGCAGTGGAAGATGGCCCAAGTCCTTGGACCCCTGCACCCACATGGGAGACCCAGAAGAGGCTCCTGGCTCCTGGCTTCAGATCAGCACAGCTCCGGCCATTGCGGCTATCTGGGGAGTGAACCAGTGAATGGAAGACCTCTCTCTCTCTCTCTCTCTCTCTCTCTCTCTCTCTCTCTACCTCTCTCTGTAACTCTCACTTTCAAATAAATAAAATAAATCTTAAAAAAAAAAATCAGAGCCTGTCATTTACACTTGGATCCTTCCAGGCACTTGTCTATGCAGAGACACAGTTGTATCTGATTTTCTTTAAAAAACAGGGCTCCGGCTATGGGACATATAATGCCTTCAGCCTTGCTGGGTCCTCCAAAGACCTCAGAATGGACAGTTTCCCTCCAGCTGTAGCACCATCTGTAGCCATTCCAGAGTAACTCACTGTGGTACGAACCCGGATCCAGCCATCCCGCTACTGATGAACACCAGGGTGTTTCAGACTTGGGCTATTATGGGAAAAGTGTTCTTTAAGGTTTATTTGAAATGCAGAGTGATGAGAGGGGGAATGGGGCAGTGAGAGAGAGAGAGAGAGAGAGAGAGAGAGAGAGAGAGATCTTCTATCCACTGGTTCACTCCCCAGATGGCCACAACAGCCAGGTCTGTTCTAGACCAGTGCCAGGAGCCCAGAGCTCCATCCGGGTCTCTCACCTGGTGGAGGGCCCGGGCACCTGAGCCGTCCTCGCTCTGCTCTCCCAGGTGCGTTAGCAGGAAGCTGGATCAGGAGCAGAGCAGCCAGGACTCCAACTGCTGCTCTGATATGGGGGGCTGGCACCACCAGTGGTAGCTTAGCCCGCTGCACCACAAGGCCAGCCCCCAAAATGTTCTTTAAATAACCTCGTACATGAATTATTTCCTCAGAATGTTGTCCATGTGGCTCGGGTACTAAAGAATTACCTCCAGGGCCGGTGCCGCGGCTCACTAGGCTAATCCTCCGCCTGCGGCGCCGGCACCCCGGGTTCTAGTCCCGGTCAGGGCGCCGGATTCTGTCCCGGTTGCCCCTCTTCCAGGCCAGCTCTCTGCTGTGGCCCGGGAGTGCAGTGGAGGATGGCCCAAGTGCTTGGGCCCTGCACCCCATGGGAGACCAGGAGAAGCACCTGGCTCCTGGCTTCGGATCAGCGTGGTGCGCCGGCCACAGCGGCCATTGGAGGGTGAACCAACGGCAAAGGAAGACCTTTCTGTCTGTCTCTCTCTCTCACTGTCCACTCTGCCTGTCAAAAAAAAAAAAAAAAAAAAAAAGAATTACCTCCAGGAAGTCTGAATCCGTTTTTCCCATGATGAGCCTGGCTAGGCCTCACTTATTGGAATGCTGGATGATGTAGGCTGGCTTGGCTGGGCACCAGGGCTCTCTCCTCCATCCGGCCACTCGTACTGCAGCAGGCTAGCCTGGCCACGGTCTCTCTCATAGCACAGAGAGGGCGGGCGCCAGAGAGACAGCAAGCTATACAAAAGGCCTCCTGAAGGGAACTGGTGCAGAATCACTTTGAAAAAAAAAAAAAAAAACACATGCTGGAGGGGCAGGTGCCATGGGGTAGTAGGTTAAGCCCCCGCTTGCAGTGCCAGCATCCCATATGGGCACTGGTTCGAGTCCCGGCTGCTCCACTTCCGATCCAGCTCTCTGCTATGGCCTAGGAAAGCAGTGAAAGATGGCCCAAATCCTTGGGCCCCTGCACCCACGTGGGAAACCCAGAAGAAGCTCCTGGCCACAGGCTTCTTTCTGGCCCAGCCCTGGCCATTGCAGCCATTTGGGGAGTGACCCAGAAGATGGAAGATCTCTCTCTCTGTCTCTCTCTCTCTTTCTCTCTCACTTGCTCTCTCTCACTCGCTCGCTCGCTCTCTCTCACTCTCTGCCTTTCAAATAAATCTTAAAATAAATAAATAAACATGCTGGAATAATTTATGAACTTGGATTAGGGAGTGGAGTAAATGCATGCTCCCTGTTGTGAAAGGGGCTGGCAGGCTGAGAGGGCACAGCCGGGGGGCGGGGAAGGCAGCCAGCAGCCACAGAGACAGCTCCCGGCGCTTGGCCCAGAGGGGGAGCATGCAGCTTGGCCCCGCTGGAGTTCAGGGTCACTCCGGCTTCTGACCATGCTGCCCCCAGCAGTCTCCTTTTTGAATGGGACGCCTCTCTCTCTCTCACCATCGTGTGGTGTGGGAAGGGGCAGACAGCAGTGTCTCCAGCTTCATGGGCTAGAGGGGTGGGTCTCAGCATGCTGCCTGCCAGGAACTACACCTGAAGAGTCTCTTTCAGCCCACACACAGTGGAGACAGTCACAGGAGGAGGTTAGCAGGTGTACAGGTGCGGGAGGGGACCACACGCTCCTTGAGCTGGACAGGTGCGTTTTGCAGGTGGCAAGGATACAGATAATCGCAGCGAAAGGCAGATCATGATGATTTCAGATATGTCTGGGGCGCACAGGGGCCCAGCAGCTGAGACACTCCCATCCTACACCAGAGAGCTGGGTTCAAGTCCTGGCTCCACTCCCGAGTTTCCTGCTGATGTCAACCCTAGGAGGCGGCAGGTGACGGCTCAAGTAATTCGGTCTCTGCCACCCATACAGGAGACCTGGACGGAGTGCCCGACTTTGGCTTGACCTAGCCTCCGCCGTGAAGGCATCTGGGAAGTGAGCCAATGATGGGAGCTCTCTTTGTCCAGTTGTCTTTGTTTTTCTGCCTCTCAAAGATACGTCTACAATTCTGTGATGCACCTCTCTTCAAAAGCATGGTTCCTCCCTTCTGAGCGCGAGCTGGACTTGGGGACCCACCCCTAGTGAACAGAACACGGCAGAGGCGATGTGAGAGCCAAGGTCAAGTTATAAGAAACAGTGGCTCCTGCCTGAGGTGAGCAGGTTCTCTCTCTGCGTCTCCCCCGGGGATCCTCTGATGGCTCGCTGCGGGGAAGCAGCTGCCACATCCCACGGCCTCTCGGCAGCCTGGGGAGGAGCCCACGGAGGTGGCACGAAGCCACGCCTGGGAGCAGATATCTGAGGCCAGTGAAGAGCCACAGGAGAGACCGCGACCACGGAGGGTCAGCTGTGGCGCCCTGCGACATCTGTGACCCCCTGAGAGATCCTGAGCCAGAAACCCAGCCGGCTGCACTGCCCCGGCTCCCGGGGCACGCACTGCGTGAGTTGGTCCACACCTGGCGCTCGTTGGTAGCTCGGCAATAGATGGCTGGGAGGGCGTGGTTCCTACCCATTTGCTTCCTTCCCCGTTGACCGACGTTTCGAATCCTGAAGATAGGAAGCTGGGAAAGAGAACTCGAGACAGGTTAAAAAAAAAAAAGTGTAATACTGACAAAAGACGTATCAGTGTAATACTGACAAAAGACGTATCAGTGTGGTATTGGCACGTAGAAAAATGGAGCAGATTAGACAGTGTAGAAATCGTTCAGCATGAAAATAACCAATTGATCTTTGACACAGCGCAAAGGCATTTCAGTGGAGCCTTCAGTCTGATTGGTTTCCTAAATTAGTTCCTTATTGCTGCTATAAAACATAACCATAAACTTAGTGGCTTAAAACAATGCATATTTACTGTCTTCAGTTCTGGAAACCAGGAGGCTGACTTGGGACGCACGTGAAAATCAGTGTCAGGGGCCAGCGTTACAGTGAAGCAGGTTAACCTGCGGCTCGCAATATGGCAGACTTCTTCCAATACGGGAGTCCCAGCTGCTCTGCTTCTGATCCAGCTCCCGCCAACGTGCATGGAGAAGCATGGAAGATGGCCCAGTGCTTGGGTCCCTGCCCCTGTGTGGGAGACATGAATGGAGCGCCTGGCTCCTGGCATCAACCTGGCCCAGCCTCGGCCATTGTGGCTATCTGGGGAGTAGACCATTAGATGGAAGATTGTATCTCTCTCTTCCTGTGTGTGTGTCCCTCTCTCTGTGTGTTATTCTGCCTTTCAAATAAATACATTTTTTGTTTTATTTTTCTTTTCTTTTTTTTTTGCCATTCAAAACACAGTTTTTAAATTTATTTTTAAGGAATACAAATTTCATAAGTACCACTTTAGGGTTATAGTTATTCTTGCCACCATGCCCGCCCTCCCACCCACACTCCCACCCCTCCTCCCCTCCTCCCTCTCCCCTTGCCAGTCCCATTCTCCATTAAGAATCATTTTCAGGGCTGGTGCTGTGGCATAGTGGGTAAAGCTGCTGCCTGCAGTGCAGGCATCCCATATGGGTGCCAGTTCGAGTCCCGCCTGCTCCACTTCCAATCCAGCTCTTTGCTATGGTCTGGGAAGGCAGTGGAAGATGTCTCAAGTCCTTGGGCCCCTGCACCCATGTTGGAAACCTAGAAGAAGCTCCTGGCTCCTGGCTTCAGATCAGCACAGCTCTGGCCGTTGCGGCCAACTGGGGAGTGAACCAGCGGATGGAAGACCTCTCTCTCTCTCTCTCTCTCTCTCTCTGTCTCTCTCCCTCTCTGTCTCTCTCCCTCTCTGTGTGTAACTCTGAATTTCAAATAAAAAATAAATCTTTTAAAAATTCATTTTCAGACCGGCTCCATGGCTCACTTGGCTAATCCTCCACCTGCGGCGCCGGCACATGGGGTTCTAGTCCCGGTTGGGGCGTTGGGTACTAGTCCCAGCTGCTCCTCTTCCAGTCCAGCTCTCTGCTGTTGCCCAGGAGGGCAGCGGAGGATGGCCCAAGTGCTTGGGCCCTGCACCCGCATGGGAGACCAGGAGGCAGCACCTGGCTCCTGGCTTCGGATTGGCACAGCGCCAGCCATAGTGGCCATTAGGGGAGTGAACCAAAGGAAAAGGAAGACCTTTCTCTTTATCTCTCTCTCTCACTATCTAACTCCGCCTGGCCAAAAAAAAAAAAAACATTTTCAATTAATTTTGTATACATAAGACCAACTCTATGCTAAGTAACGATTTCAACAATTTGCACACACACACACACAAAATATAAAAAACTGTTTGAGAACAAATTTTGCAGTTAATTCTCATAGCACAACTCATTACAGACAGAGGTCATACATGGGGAGTAAGTGCACAGTGACTCCTATTGTTAATTTAACAATTAACACTCTATGTACAACATCAGTGACACCCAAGGCTCTTGTCATGAGCTGCCTAGGCTATGGAAGACTTTTGAGTCCACAATCTCTTTCAGTAAATAAATATATTTTAATTTTTTTTAAAAAAAAAGGTATAGATAAGAGAATGAAAAGAAAAGCCAAAAACCTGAGAAAAATTTTTGCAAGTCACATGTCTGACAAAGGCTTGTCCCCAGAAGATGTAAAGAATTCACAGAATACATTTTAAAAAAAAAAGCTCTTATTTTTTTATCTATTTGTTTGAAAGGCAGAGAGAGAAAAGAACAGAGGAAAACAGAGAATCAGAGATAGAGAGAGAGATCTTCCATGTACTGGTTCACTCCCCAAATGGCTGCAACAGCCAGGGCTGGGCCAAGGTGAAGTTAGGGGTCAAGAACTCCATCCAGGTCTCCCACATAAGGTGGCAGGGGCCCAAGCACTCGGGCCATCCTCCACTGCTTTCCCAGGCACATTAGCAGGGAGCTGGATTGGAAGAGGAGCAGCCAGGACTGGAACCGGTGCCTATATGGGGTGCCAGCCTCACAAACAGCAACTTAACCTGCTTCGCCCCATGCCAGCCCCCACACCTTGCTGTTTCGGTGGTTAAAATGTCAACAGTCACTTCACCATAGAGGGTGCAGACGGGAATGTGCGTTTGGCTCAGGCAAGCTGCTGTATCAAGCGCCTGGGTTTCAGTCCCAGCCCTGCGTCTGATTCCAGCTTCCTGATACTGCGCATGCGGGGAGCAGCAGGGATGGCTCGATACTTGAGTTCCTGCCACCCATGTAGGAGACGCTGACTGAGTTCTGGGCTTCTGGCTTCGACACGGCCCAGCCCAAACTATTGCAGGCATTTGGGGAGTGAACCAGCAGATGGAAGACCTCTCTTTGTCCAGGATGTCTCTGTCTCTCTCTATATATATCAATGTCTGCCTTTCAAATAATTAAAAATACAAGAAATTTTAAAACTCCTTTAAAAAATAAACATGGGTACAGGTTACGGTACAGGGAGTTGGGCCACCTCTTGGGACGCCAGCATCCTGACTCTGAGCCCCAGTTCAGGGTCCAGCTGCTCCACTTCCAATCTAGCCCCCTGCAAAGCACCTGAGAAGCAATGGATGATGACCCAAATGCTTGGGCTTCTGCCACCCATGTGAGAGACCCGGGTGGAATTTCATTTGGGGAGTAGACAAGCAGATGGAAGATCAATCTCTCTGTGTCTGTCTCTTGTCTCTGTCTCCTCTCACACTCTGCCATTTAAGCAATCAATAAATATATCTTTTTAAAAAGACAAATAAGTGGCAAATAAGAACATAAAGGCATACTTAACATCATTGGATCTTAGGAAAATACCAATTAAAACTATAATAAAATATCACTGGTACCACCTATCAGCACGACTAAACACACAGAGAAGCAACAAGACCACATCAGATGCTGGTGAGAATGCGGAGGTGGGTGGGTAACTGGATCTCGTATACATTGTTGCTAAGAGTGCAGAATAGGACAGCCACCTTGGAAAATTGTTGGGCAGTTTCTTTTAAAGTTAGATATGGGTTTTCCATGTGACCTCATTTCTACATAATTATCCAAATGTAATGAAAACCTACATCTGCACATGCGTGTGCACACACACAAACCTGTATGTGAACACGTTTTTTTGTTGTTGTTGTTTTAAGATTTATTTTATTTATTTCAAATGCAGAGTAGCACAGAGATGCGCCGGCCGCAGCGCGCTGGCCGCGGCAGCCATTGGAGGGTGAACCAACAGCAAAAGGAAGACCTTTCTCTCTGTCTCTCTCTCTCTCACTGTCCACTCTGCCTGTCAAAAAAAAATTAAAAAAAAAAAAAAGAAGAAAGAAACAGAGGTCTTCCATCCACTGGTTCACTCCCCAAATGGTTGCAATGACTGGGGCTGTGCCAGGCAGAAGCCAGGAGCTTCATCCGGGTCTCCCATGTAGGTGCAGGAGCCCAAGCACTTTGGCCAGCTTCTGCTGCTTCCCCAGTTACATTAGCAGGGAGCTGGATTGGAAGTGGAGCAGCCAGGACATGAACTGGCACCCATATGGGATGTCTGTGTCGCAGGCAGTGGCTTTACCTGCTGCACCACAGCACCAGCCCCTCAATGGCAGTTTTAGGTGCTGTGCACAGTAGCCCTTCCAGATTCCTAGCAGGCAAGCCCCAAGGAACAGAGCAGCCGATGACCAAAGCCACGGCAATGTTCCAGATATACAGGAAGGGAACAACAACTCCGTGTTCCTATAAAAAGAGGCACCTATCCAAAGAAACCTTTGAAACCTAAGACTTGTTAACTTTTTCATTGTCACAACTGGCTGGGGAGGACTGGGTTTCTCTCAACTCTGCTGTGCCGGAGAACAAAGCGCCGATTGTGAGCTGTGTGGTTTGGAGCGCTCCTCAGCCTTGCAGTTAAACCTGACAGCTAACCACTGTCTGATCTGAAGGGTGTTTAAAAATACGCATTGCTAAGGAGCGAGAGGAGGGAGAGAGCCTTCCTGCTCTATCCTCAGATCTGAGAGTGGGCTCCCCCTGAGTTTAGAGAGAAGATCGCTTGACAGAAAGTAGCCGACACATCTTTGTGTTCCCCAGTCTAAGAGCAGGCAGCAGCTCCAAGAAGAAACTGCCGCCACGTGCCAATGCCAGGTTTTGCATGAAACCCTGATTCAGGTCTGCTTCTGCTGCTGTTAGAGCCCAGGGGAGAGAAAAAGCAAGGTCAGTTGAGCAAAAAGCCAAAAAGCAGTAAAGAGCTCCCACTTTCAACCAGATAGCACAGAATTTAAAACTAAGCAAAACGGGCTGGCCCTGTGGGCACAGCAGATTAAAGCCCCAGCTGCAGGTGCCAGCATCCCATATGGGCACCGATTTGTGTCCTGGCTTGCTCTACTTCCAATCCAGCTCTCTGCTATGGCCTGGGAAAGCAGTGGAGGATGGCCCAAGAACTTGGGCCCCTGCACCCACAAGGGAGACCCAGAGAAGCATCTGGCTCCTGGCTTTGGATCGGCTCAGCTCCAGCCATTGTGGCCATTTGGGGAGTAAACCAGCAGATGGAAGATCTGTGGGAAGACCTGTGTCTCTCCCTCTCTGTAACTCTATCTTTTTTATTTTTTAAGATTTATTTATTTATTTATTTGAAAGGCAGAATTACAGAGAGGCAGAGAGAGAGAGAGAGAGAAGTCTAGTTCACTCCCCAGATGGCTGCACCAGCCAGAGCTGTGCCAATCCAAAGCCAGGAGCCAAGCTTCTTCCAGGTCTCCCACGCGGCTGCAGGGGCTCAAGGACTCGGGGCATCTTCTACTGCTTTCCCAGGCCACAGCAGAGAGTGGGATAGGAAGTAGAGCAGCCAAGACGCAAACTGGCACCTATGTGGGATGCTGGCACTGCAGGTGGTGGCTTGACCCACTAAGCCACAGCGCCAGCCCCTGTAACCCTGTCTTATGAATAAAATAAATAAACCTTTTTTTAAAAAGTTCATGATTGGGACCAGTGCTGTGGCACAGCGGGTTAAAGCCCTGGCATGAAGCGCCAGCATCCCATATGGGTGCCAGTTTGAGACCTGGCTGCTCCACTTCCAGTCCAGCTCTCTGCTATGGCCTGGGAAAGCAATAGAAGATGGCCCAAGTCCTTGGGCCCCTGCACCTGAGTGGGAGACCTGGAAGAAGCTCCTGGCTCCTGGCTTTGGATCAGTGCAGCTCCAGCAGTTGCAGCCATGTGGGGAGTGAACTAGGAGATAGAAGACCTCTCTCTCTCTCTCTCTCTCTCTCTCTCTGCCTCTCCTCTCTGTGTGTAACTCTTTAAAGTAAAAGAAATAAAAAATCTTAAAAAAAGAAAGCGAAGGGTTTAAACAAAAAGTTCATGGAAAGTGTGTATTATGAAAAAGTGTACATGAGTTTTAGTTTTTTGTACCCAAATACAATTTACCTTTATTAATTGTTTTAAGAGAGGGAGGGGAGAGAGAGAAAGGG